TGGTAGTTATCAGTGATTTATGGTAAATAACTGTCAACGATCAGATGACAATCAGAAAATGGCAGGAACAGAGAATAATGGTTAAAAACAAAGTAGGAGCTAATTGCTGGTATCTAATAATGTCAATCAATTGCTTAGTGAAGACAGGCAGTTGAAAAGAAATAGCAGTTTCTTAATTGCAGTGGATACAAAAAATGCTCTTTGATACCAAAGCAGATGGAAAATGGGAATAATAATGATAAACTGATAAAGCTTGGTGGTACTAAACTGGATCAGGTGAAGTGACATAGCACAGAGAGGAGTGACTGTGCAAACTGAGTAAATAGAATGAGTAGGGTAGATTTCTGAATAAATATAGATGAAGAATTCACTAAAGATGTGGGTTCTAAAAAACCACTTTTCTGTATCACCTAAAATGCTTCAAATAGAGATACTGATCTACAGTAAGTCCCTAAATATTTAATATTCATTCACTGTAAGTACTAGGAGACTAGAGATCAGAATAAAAATTGCTGTTCTCTGAGGAAGGATTGGAAAGCAAAATGCAGTCCTAAAATCCTTAGTCTTTATTGTATATAAAAATATGTTCAATGCTTGAAATGACCATTACAAAGACAGCAGTGCTGACACAGAGAAAGTAAAAGCAGTTTCAAGTGCTGAAAGAATAAATGTGCAAGGAATTAAAGCAAGATGATAAAAGATGCAAGGAAGATGGAGATCCAGGTAAACATTATCACAAGGCATATTTTCACAGTAACAGTTTCCACAGTTCTCTGCCTTTGTTCAAAAAAAAGCCATCTGTACCTCAGCCATGGGAGGATGTTAGACTGTTTCTATGATGTGTTTAATTCAAATCCATCTTCTGCGTACGGGCAACAGTAAAAGAAAACCTGTCAGCTCTGAGAGTTCTTTAATTTCCACTGTGGGCTGGCTCTAAACATGAGGACAGAGAAAAGGTGGTTTGAACAAGTAGAATTATTCAGGCATGCTGGATTTGCAAACTTTTCCTTTAAGTTGCTCTGTTTCCTTTTTATACTTTCCATGCTGCACTTATCTAAAATAGATTGAGTTTCCTTTTCAATATTTGTCTTAAGGATCACTTGCTGAAACTGGTGAAGAAGAGATAGGATGGGGATATAAAAACACTGAGAAAATGCTACTGAGGCTATGTGATATTTGCCACTTAATGGAATTCAGCTTAGGTATCTGGCTTACCTGGCAGAAGAGACCTTCTATGATACTTTAGCTTGTGTTAACCCTTGTAGTACCCAGTACTAGAGCACAAATGTATACTTTCATTGTCCCGCAGTTGTCACAGACTCTGAACAAGATAGTGTCTGAATTTCTCCCTGACAGTGTGCAATTAGGGATAGGACCTGTCATTCTTATCTTTCTGTTGTCCTATTCAGTTCAATGTTGTACAAATGTAAATGTGAATAGGATTTTGTCCAAATGGTTCAAAAAACAACTGCAAAGAGGCTTGAACATTTCAGTTATAAAAAGTACAATATTCAATCTTAAATTGGACTGCTAAGTCTCTTTTTATTATTTGCTTTTTGCCTTCTTCAGAAAACATTAATTGGCAGAGAAGGTGCTACCAGGATATTTTGGAAGTAATTAAAACTGATCCTGAAAATACTAAAATAGCTGAATACTAAAATACCAGCTAAGATGACAGTACTAAAGCATTATTTATATGGAAAGGACATGATTTTACACAGAAAATAGCTTATAGATAGTCAAAAATGCTCAATTTGCTCACTTTGTATTGTACTTTATTATATTTGAACATTTAAGTATCAGAGTCCCAGTCTGCGTCACCATTAAACATTGAAACTGATATGAAGTCATGAGAGGCACAAGAAATATCCCCACTGACATCAGCAGGTTCTGAGTCATGTCCAGATGCACCATTTCTTGTATGAGTAACATTAATGTATAATCACATTTTTCTGTTCACTATCAATGTCTGTCAGACATTCCCTAGATGTACAACAAAATACTAGCTGCTGTGTCACACAGTATAAAATGTCAGCACAAGAGTTACTCAGCTTACGTTGCTCCTCCCAGGGTGTTCTGATATTAGTATTTCACTGGAGGATTGCAAATCTACCTAATAGCATTCAACCGTGCCAGATTTGGTATAAAGATTTGGGTTCACAAACGTTTTGCTACTAATCCATTAAAAGCAGTAAAAATAGGTCTTCTAAGCTGTACCTTCTACTGTTTGTGCATAAGATTTCTAATAGAAGAGAGTGAGGGATGTCCTCCCAGATAACATCAACAAACTGTATTTTTGTAGCACCAGAAACAGAAGTAGATTGATGTCAACTGTTTACGGGCTGGTTCAGCCTGGTTCTGTGACCAGCAGGGCGGAGGGATCTATGGATCCGTGCCTCCGGGAAAGGGGAAACAGGGGACCCCAATGTACTTGAAAACAACAGCAATAATCTGAGGTGGAACAAATGATTTACTAAATATAGTATTAGCAAAAAATGCAATGAGAGAGAGAGAGAGTCTGTCTGGATGGTAGATAGACCTCACCACAATGCTGAGGTGAGAAGTGCAGTCCAGTTGAGTGACTGAAGAAAAGCAGACGGCGAAGTGCAGATGGCGAAGCACAGACAGCAAAGAGCAGGCAAAGAAGAAGGATCAGGTGACCTTGCACAGAGTTATATCTCCTTGCTGACCACAAAGCCCCCTGGGGAAATGTAGTTCTTCTCCGTTGGACGAACATTCGGCAGAAGTCATACCCCCCCCCCCAATGCATTACCTGATGTTATGGTGTGGAATACTGATGACCAAAAATCATAAAACCATGACAGTTGTTTTACAGAGATTTGCTTGAGACTAGCATTATGAATCACAGTATGTTCAGTAGTATTACACTGAAGAAAATTTTAGCAGCTCAGGTCTCGTATTATTGCACTGTTCATAAATTTAATATTAACTATAGTTGACAACAGTAGCTCATCCCTACCACACTCCTAAGGGCAATTAAATTAAAAACTGGAAGGAAACATTCTGCAGATTTTAGCTTAGTGTTGCAAAATTCAAATGAGCATCTATTTCTTGAGTTTCATCTGCCTTCTTACAGGCTAAAAGGTTATGCAAGTGCAGTATACGTGTGTGACTTATCCCCAGGATAAAAATTAATGTAACTAATTAATGTAATTAAGGCAAAGAGGAGCACCTGTTAGAAGACCAAGTACTCAGTCTTGACAATGTTCTTGTCAGTGGATTAAAGCTTCTAAAAACACTTTCTAGTTAGAAATTTTTTCCATCACTACACTTTACATTGAGCTTGTTTGGTACACTCAAACAAATATTTTGAACCTTATAACTATTAGCCAAAAATGTAATGACATTGTGATAGTTGTTATATCTATATGCTCCAAGCCAGACAGTTTACCCCTGAATTTTAGATGTTTTCCTTTAATGTGTTTTGTATTAGCCATGAAATTCATAATTCTATTAATTCAACTTCCTCTCTCTAAAAGCTACTGTGTAAAAAGACCGCTATTTAAAAGGAAGCAATTTAAAATGAATACTGATGATCATATAAAGTAAAGACAATTTATTTTGAAAGTCTCTAAGGAAAACATCTATAAAAATATTACAAGAAATATGCTTAGGTTGAGCTTCAGTATTCTCTATTGGACTCTAATATTGAGTGACATCAAAATGTTTTCCATTCTGTGCTATCAAGCTTGATAAATATTTGAGATAGTAAACTGTTTGAATGTCAACAGTCTTTCTTCTCTATGGATGGCTGACTTGCTCTTCTAATTGCCTGTGCCTGAGAACAGCTAAAAGAATGTGAAAGACTGTTTAAAAGACAAGCCTAATACATAAGTTGTCAGGACAGATTTCCAACAGAAAGCAGTTTGACATTTGACATGTTATTTGGACTGAAATATTGGTTACGTACATTTTTTTTTTAATCGGGATGCAATTACTTAGAAATTATGAAACAAACTGGTATCCACCCCCAAAGAAGACAGGAAGAGAACTTTTAGTCAAACCCGTGACTAGAAAATGAGACAGTTTCTTAAGTTACTCTTTTTTAGGTTCTTAAAAAATAACTCAAGTTAAATATATTTGACATCCTATGCCACTATCCTTCTAGAGTCTAAATTCATTTACAAAATCTATTTTTTCTTTTTTAAAATAAACTTTTAAAATATTACTTAAAAATACTTTACTTGAAACTATGACTTAACACAGAACACAAGCACTTCTGACAAAATTTGAAAGGTTGTACTTCATCAGTTCAAAGTTTTACTCCCAATGAGACATAAAAAAAAGTTCTGACAGGAAATATACATAAATAAGATTATAATAAGTTAGCAAAACTGCTTTTGAAATATCTATTTCACTTCTCATTATATCATTAAAATCTAGAGAGCTGATTTAGAATGTGAAAAGGTACCTAAGTAGAGCCACTGGAAATAGCAGAAGACGTTGAAGACATTCTAATTTTTTGTTTGCTGAGCAGTTCTTTCCAATAAAACAAAAAAGGACACTGCCAAAGAGAGCTATCCAAAAGATGACTTGGTTTGTTTTTCTTTCAGTCAAATAGATGTCAGTTTGTTCTCTTTCCCTGTTGTTTCACACTCATGCTTCTAGTTAGATGTTAATCCTGATATACACATGTTGTCTGGTTTACATGCTCTGTGATATACATGAAGAACTCTAATATAGTATGGTTAATCATAATGTAGAACACATCAGCTTGAAATAGATTCCATTTGGCTACGTGCATTTCTGAACAGGTAGAGCATTTAGGAATGGTTACCAGAAATACTGATTTCAGTTCTCCTGAACAATAGCTTCCGTATCTATGCAATGTTTTGGCTTATGTTGTATGTTCTTCTGTATTTTGAAAGTGACATTCTGTCGTGACTTTTCTTTTTTGTTTCTTTATGAGTTAAACTACTTCTTCCATCTCCTGATTCTAATTAGTTCTAATTCTGGATTGTAAATTTGTTCCTTTGCAGAATGCAAAATGCTAGACAAGTGTTTGTACAGATCAGAAAAGTTGAGGTAAGTAATATTAAAATCTCAAATATTTGTTTTGTATGTCAGTAGCACTCAAAAATATTAACTATCACAAGTTGTCTATAAATTACAGTTGTCTATAAATTGTCAGTTAAATCTATAAAACCTCTTTGTCACATAATTTTGTCTCTCATCTGCTGGTTGTTGTTGTTGTTTATTTTTTTATATAGTAAAGTCTTACAAGACCAAAGGAACTGCAATTTGCCACTGGCATATCGTCCTCTAATTCTCCTGAAATGTCTCCCCCATATACGTCTGCATGTGCCTACTTATGTATGAGGGAAAGGAGAAGGAGAATATTAAAATGTAGGCTAATTTTCCTTTAATTTTCAAAATCTCTGAAGTTTTTATGTGTCTGGGTTGCATTCTTGTTTTGATTTAATGACTGTGTAGGTGGAAAGATGCAGCTGGTCTGAAATCCCAGTCGTGATTCTTACTTAAATATAGATTTTTACCTAAATATACCTGAAGTTAATATTTTTTGAATCAAGCCAATTTTTAATCGGTGACTTTCAGTAACTGTCGAAATTTAGCATCTTCAGAACAATAAGAGACAGATGATATGGAGGATCCAGGGCTACCTTGTAGCAAGAATCAAAATGAGATACTCAATATGAGTATCAATAAGTATCTATTAAAGAGCACTGTCCAGAGAAAAAGAGAATTACTCTAACTTCTAGCATGAAGCCATGTATATAACAAGACAGAGATTCCATCCCCTATTTTGAAGTTTTGAAACTCTGCACAAGCTGATTAATTTCTCTGCAAGACAGTGCATGCAATGGGAATGTGAGAGGTAGCTTACAAAGTAGGGGGGTTGTTGAGCTTGAGGAAGGAGAAAAGGATTGTTTCCTGTTTGTTCCCTCTTTTTCCACGTGGATCACTTTTATTTTACAAAAGAAAAGAAAAACTAGAAAAAAAAACCAGAAACAAACAAACAAACAACGAAAAAGCCCTTCTTTGACACCTTCAAAGGATGAAACATCCTTTTCATCTGAATTTAACAGATGAGTTGAGCTAGAGGATTTTTCCGTAATTTCCTCTGAACGTAAGACATCCAATTATGTGATACAGATGCATCTTCTCAGCCACAGAATCCACAGAGTTTGTTGTGAAATGGTCATGTTGCTTGATAGTTGCATTATAGACAGGTTTTTCTTCTCCTGTTATCTAGAATAAACAATTATGCCTACAGTAACCATGGCTAAGATCACACAAATCTTAACTATGGGATCAAGTGTCTCATCACAAGGTGATCAGAAGCAATGCCAGGTGTTTAAGGCCCCCACTGCTCAGTAACCTTGGTGTATGAGAGCTATTGAATCACTGCCTGAACCTCTGATTGATCACCTGAGGCAAGCACTGAGTCAACCATGGGAGCACAAGTGAAGACAATTCAGCTGTGTGACCAGAAGGGGTGGAGCCGGGCTGCGCCTCTCCTAGACCCTATTTAAGGGCTGACTGCCTTGGGGAAGAATCTGTCTCTAGAGGTGGCTCCTCTTGGAGTTTCCTGCCCAAGCCTATGACACAGGTAAGTGTTTCCATTCTTTTTGGATTATTCCTTTTTGATGTGATAATTATTCTAGTTATACATTCTCTAAAACCAGCCTAACTTCTGCGTATACTTCTCTGTATATTTATTGATTATACATTTGTATACTCCTTGATTGTACGCTTGGTGAGTATATTTCCTGAATCAAGGTATAGCTGCCACAAGGGACCTGATTTAATGTAAAGTGTTAACATAAGACAGCAACAGCTGTTGTTTGAGCGTTTTTCCCTTAGCACACATTCCTGAAAGGTAAAGTAGAGCTCTGTAAGCTGCTAGCCTGAGAGAAAGGACAGAGCGTTCCCTTTCTCAGGTAACTTGTGTCTTCTAGGATGTTGGAGGCATAGTCATAATCACTCACATAAGCTTGTGATGCTTGGAAGTCATTACTGCAGAGTTCATGCTATGAGAAGCTCTGAGAAGGAAATAAGTGTTGTATTGGAGGGTATTTTGTCTCCTATGTGAGCTATCACTTACAGTTAATAACACTATGCAGTAATTAAAATGATTTACAGGGGACAAGTGTGTAACTGCTGATCTTTGAAAGATGTTTGAAGCTGATTACTGGGGAATTCCTGCCGTTTCAATAGCAATTGCTGTGTGATGTCTATAGCTGGATGCTTCAGAACACTTTCATTGTGAGTTGCAAGTCCTTTAAGTCTAATAATAAATTTTTATGAGGATGAAATTACACAGGGATTTAACAGTTATATCTGTTGTTTATTCTTGAAATTCAGGAGTAAAAAAAAAAAAGTTCTTCACCATAGATTTTTCTTAATTATAATTGAGTTCCCTGTGTAGCTTGGATCTCTAGGAGTATTTTTTATCTCTCTCTCTCTCTCTCTCTCTCTCTCTCTCTCTCTCTCTCTCTCTCT